ATGGATGTAATTAATAAATGCTGTTCTTTTGTTTCCAGAGTATCATTAGCCATGAATTATGTTGTGCATGCCATCTGCAGCTGTTAGTTGAGAAGGCTGACTACCCATTGGCTTTTGAGTTGCTGTCAGTTCTAAGCTTTGGGCACTGTGAAAACAGTGTGGGACAAAAGATCATGCTGAAGCCAGAAAAAGGCAAATGCGTGTCAAATGGACAGCACAACTGGGATACGCATTGTGCATTTCTGAACTGCGCTCCCACATGGCGTTTGCTGTGTGTAGTAACATGGGACTTCTTAGGCCAGTCTCTCCAAAGCATGTGAAGACGTTTCTGATGACTCACTCCAGCCTTCTGAGCTCACAGCGCAGCAGCCGGGAATGCTTCCACCTTCCCGCTGACCGGGCAGGCTTCCTACATGCTTTTAAGGAGGCCTTGCATCCTCCTCCCAGGGAATGAAGGAAGCAGCCTTTCGACATACCTGCTACCTGCCTTATACAGGGCGAGAAGGGCCGTCGGGGCATCAGCACTCCTCCAGCGTTCTCCTGCTGGAGAAATGCTTTGGAGGGTGTGCAGTGCAGAGTCGCCCCAGGCATCACTGCCTGCAGAGCCCACTTTGCCTGCTTGGCTCACGCCAAGAGGCAGAAAGAACTCCCCTTCCATGTGCTAACTAAGAGCCTCTGCCCCCACCAGCAGAGGAAAACTCCACAGCACGGTCCCAGCCCTCCGGTCCATGGGGCACCGTGTGACGGAAACCGCACATCGCCCTGGCCGCCCCCGTCTCATCTGTCGCACTGAGCTGCCTGCACCTCCCTGAGCGAGGGATTCTCCCCTACGTTCCTGGCACTTAGCACAACACACACACAGGACTCCCCACTGCTACCAGTTATCCATCACAGATACTCTCCTTCAGGAAACAACACTGAAAATCCCCCCACCCCATCCCACACCAAAGGAAACATGTTTGCACACATTCCCGAACATTCATACTAGGAAAAAAGATCCCAAACTCTGAAGGCTAGAAAAGGAAGTCTGAAAACATGCCTTTGACTCTGATTGGGGCACCACCCTCCCCGCTGCTCCCCTCCCACAAGTAATTCCCCATTTCTGCCTCAAGGGTTGCAAAATAAATATTTCATTGTTTTTAGACAGATAAATGTGTATGCATGAATCCGAAAGAAAGCAAAGAAAAGAAGTGCATGCAGTGTGACTATGCAGTTCTGTCGGTCAAAGTAAGAACTTGGAGAGGGGAAGAGAAAGTAAGAGCGAGATAAAAATGACCCCAAGAATAGGAACTGAGACATCTCTCAGCAAACAGATCAAAAGGCCAGGCGCTTGCCAGCCATCCCACAGTTCATGGATGCGGGTCCACCCATTAGAACGTGTGGTTTTTCAAAAGAATACAGGCCCCACGCCCCTTCACCAACGTGGTGAAGTACTCCCAGCCAGGAACTCCAAGAAAAAACTAGCAAATGAAGAGGGGGGAGGGGGGAAGGGAGACCAGCTGGGCCCCTGCTTACACCTGGAGGCCAGCCACCCCCCCACTCCACAAACCCACATTGCCCCCACCCACAATCTGTGTGCACGTAACATGATAAAAAGAGAAGAGACGCTTAGGAGAAACGTAAACCAAAGGTGAGGTGGAGTGAGAACTGAGAAGTTGTCATGATTAGGGGGGAAAAAACCCAAACCCCAAAGACTGCAGCACTCTGGTGGTGGCGTTGCTGTCATAGTCTGAGTGTCCTTCCTTCCTTCTTCCATGGCTGGCAGGCGTCAATTTACATAGTATAGCCAGTACACCAGGTTGAAGAATCCAAAGGTGATGGGGAAAATGATCCGTGACCACTTGTCAATGGTGCTGACATCTGCCAGGTCCGGAATTTTGAGCTTCAGCTTGGAAGAGCGCCGGCGGAGGCGGCAGTTCGCTCGGTTGCGGGCGGCAGCAGAGGCAGCGGCAGCATGGTGGGCCAGTGGGACATGGCGGTCTAAGGTGGGGTGGTGTCCAAATCCATCTCGGGAGGCCAGTGGCTTGCGGAACTGGATTCCTGATGCTTCAAAAGACATGACAGAGTTTCGAGAATCTCCCATTGTGCTCATCATGTCCGTGGCCAGCAACTCATTGTTCATTTCCAGTGTGCTCAGAAGGACATTCCCGTAAGGGTCAACCTGGAAAGCAGAAGAGGAATTGCGGAGCACGCATGAAACCAGTGCAACTAGTGCTCCCTGGGCAAACACTCTGCACCAATTGCTCTTTATTGCTCTGCACCAATAAATAACCAGTCTCTTGGGGCCAGAGCGCCAAGAGCGCTCGGAGGGGGTGTCCAGTAGGTCCCCAGGCTCTGGTGGAGATGCGGCGTGGCCTTGGGCAGGGTATCCCAGGTGAGGGCATCTAGCACTGCCAATCGCTCCTCTTCTACTGGGAACTGAAAGCAAAATCCCCCTGGATTCCAGAGGGTGGATGTTCTCAGAGTGCATGCATCCCACTCTGTCGCCTTCATCTTTATATTTTATAAAAAAACAAACAAATAAGGGTGCCACATAGATGACTAGGCAGCACTGCTTTGTTATTTTTTCTTTTTATAAGATGCAAATACAAAATCATATAATAAAGAAAAAAGAACTCAATAAACAAAATTTAACAAGCAGAAATCACCCTTAGTGCACCCCTCCACCAGGACCACGGCTGCCTAGTATTTTTTTTTCTTCATTTTCCACTCTTTCCACGGTCATGTCTTCCATCCAAAATTGCAAAATTGCAAATCATCCTTTGAGGGTTTATTACCCTCCCCTTTTATTAATAAATGTTCAATAAACATACCCCATATACAGTGGTACCTTGGTTCATGAACTTAATCCGTTCCAGGACTCTGGTCATGACCCAAACTGGTCATGAGCCAAGTCAAATTTCCCCATAAAGTTCAATGAAAATAAGGTTAATCCGTTCTGCAACTATTTATTTAAATCAGAAAAATGTGAAGCAAAGTGACAAAGAACAACAAAGATCGCGGCCATCTCCCCCTCACCCCAAGCACGGCCATCTCCCCGTCCCCACCGGCACGACCACGGGCGCGCCCATCAGTCCTGCACGTGCCCGTCATCCCGGCGCGCTGGGGGGGCGTAGATGGGCACAACTGTGGGCGCACTGCGTGGGGCGATGGCTGAGATCGTGGGCACGCTCGTGCGAGAAAGACGGGCACGATCTCAGCCATCTCCCCTCCACCCCAGCATGATCGTGGCCATCTCCCCACTCAGGCCACCCAATGCGGAGTTCGCGACCCGAGTCAAAATTTTTATGAAATTTTTGTTCACGACCCGATTTGGTCATGAACTGAGGTGTTTGTGAACCAAGGTACCACTGTATTATTAAAATCATTCTTCTTTACCAATCTTTTCTTCACCTTTATCTCACAGGTCAACTTGTCATTAACTGCTATATTTCAAACTTTTTATACCAGTCAAATAATTGGGATCCTGCTTCTCCTTCCAGTTTTTTGCTATTAACATTTATGCTGCAGATACCACATTTATTATTAATTTTTTAATCAGGCAGCATTGTCCTCTCCCTTTTCCTGACCCCTCATAGTCTCTAACCTTTTTCCAAAAGTTGAGCAAGTGGTAGGAAAATATCTGGCAGAGAAAGTGGGTTTGCAAAATATCAGGCGAAGAAAGGTTACGCCCCTTTCCTTCCAAAAGCACATGCAGATGCAGCACATTATATGGGTGTGGGTGAAGCAAGCAGCTCTGCAAAGACGACAGTGACAAACCTGGTCTCTCACCCTCTTCTCCTCATATCGGTGCCTCTCGCTATTTGCCTTGTTGATTCGTTCGCTCTGCTTTTTCTGCTGCCGGGGGCCTCGTCCAAAGAAAATGTAATTGACAAACGCATACTCCAGGAGTGCCAGGAACACAAAAACAAAGCAGCCCATGAGATAAACATCGATGGCTTTGACATAAGGGATCTTGGGCAGGGTCTCCCGCAGGTGGGTGTTGATAGTTGTCATTGTGAGCACAGTGGTAACTCCTGCATAGAGAGAATGCCTGCTTGGTTATTTTGCAAGGATCATGCAACAAAGGTTTGTTCTGCAGTGCTGCCAATCAGGCAAAGCAAGAAATAGTCACCGCTGTGAAGACGGGCCTTTCAGCAGGGGTCCTTACATACCACTGACTGCCTGACTGATTGAATTACTGCTTTCCAAAATAGTAGGTGCTATGGGACAAAAAGTGTTGAACTGTTCACAAGTAATGCTGAGGTTTGCCTTGCATTTAGACAGCTAGATAAATTGTTAACATTCAGTTCAAACATGTTAGAAATCCAATTAAAAATTTCCAGGACTCATTTCTAAGGACAGATGTTCACTCATAGTCTAAAAAATATTAGGGTAAACATTAGCAACATTTGTTTTAAATAGTCTTATTTATTTGTGATTTTTTTAAAAAATCAAAGATGAATGACTCCTCACACAGTTTCCTGAAAACCATTACTTATCCAGATTCTTTTACTTTTTGTCCAGTTCCGTAAATGTTTTGACCAAGCAGAGCCACCCTGATTTGTTCCAACAAAATTCATCAACAGTGTAAAGATGCTCACATCCCCCTCCCGCAAGAACTGTCACGAAATCATTCAAAATCTTACACATTTCACCTTAAGGTGAAATCCAGCAACAACATTAAAAAAGGCAGAAGAAAAGCTTCTAGCAGAAATAACAGCAATATAGGCATCAGTTATTTTTTATCAGCAGATAGGAAAGTTGTGGCATACGGAGGAATTGCTTGGAGCAGTTCAATGCAGAGGTTCCTCTTAAGCTGAAAGCAAGTTTGCACCTTCCTCATGGGGCAAAAGCTTTAAAAGCAGCAACAATTATCCACTGCAATGCCTAAAAGTCTCTCTTACACATTGGGCAATGCACACCCTCAAATGCTTCCTAGCTTCAGAGCACAAAAGATCATTGCAAAATGTACACTAATGAAGCAGAACATTCTCAGATCCATCTTCACAGTTCCAAAGAGACAGTTTCGAATCTTGGAAGGAAGAATCATCATCATCATCATCATCATCATCATCATCATCAAAAGCCAGGGAACTTTGCTTCTCTACAGTTTCATGAACAACTAGCTCTTCCTCTTGAGAACCCTAACAGAATTTACAACTTTTGCTGCACTGGCTTCACATTCCAGACTAACCATCATAAACATAGAAACACAGAAACAGAGTCAGAAGGGGCCTCCCAGGCCATCTAGTCTGACCCCCGGCTCCAGCTGGCTCCACTCACGACATGCCCACCATGTGCATGTTTTCTTGACTGGACACTGAATTTTCTCATGCATAGTGAAATTCCTCCTTTATCTGTGTCAGGATGGACAATTAGATAACAGGAGATGGGCAAATAAAAGCAGAAGGTCCCAAGGAGGTCTGGTTCTCAGAAGATCTAGCTGTCCGCACCATGTCCAGGGAGGCCTGGGAAGAAAAAGCCTTCTCTGCCTAAGACTCTGAGAGCAACCAGTGGGCAGACAAGGGTGGCCCAGGCATCCTGGCGGTTTGAGCCAGTATGGGGCAGTTTCCCGCATTCAGCACTACAGCCTATCGCAGAGTTACACTGTGGGATACAGGAACCACGATGAAGCCAAGCTGGGCACTTAATTATACAAATTTGCATGTCATTAACACAATCTAATCCAATTGTTGGCATAAGTGCTGCCCAGCTCTGGCATACCGTCATCCTCAGCATAACTGGAAGGAGCAACAGGAGATGCTCAGGCACTTTGTGCAAAAGCACTGCTTGATGACCTTTCCGAGCAACAGCCTCGTCTCTTCCTGTCTGTGAGGCGGCCACAGAAAAAGACGTACCTAGCGCAACCCGGGCTGCAGAGGCATCATAATTGATCCAGAAGGAGACCCAGGAGAGGATGGTGATGAGTACGGAAGGCATGTAAGTCTGCAGGATGAAGTATCCAATGTTTCTTTTAATCCGGAAACTGAGGGACAATCGAAGGTATGACCCTGTCAGTTAGAGGATAATAAAGCAAGAGATTTAGGAAAAGGGACAAGTTCAAATCATTCTTTCCAGGAATATCTGGTGTGTGGCTTCTGGCAACACAAAGCCCAGTGGAGGCTGCTTCTGCATTAACGTCCCCCCATCCCCCATGGAGCCCTCGTGTTGCTTTTGGCTCTCTCTCCAAATAAACGTCTTTCCCACAAAATCATTTGCCTGGAAACCAAGTAACTGAGGAACAGCAATAATCCCAAATTAAAGTTCGTTAACAATTGCTAATACAAAGTGATGAAATTATACAGGATAGGACACCTGTATAAATGATTGAATCAGATAAATGATTCAACAATAAATTCCTATTTAAAAATAAAAACCAATTCATTTAATTGACAGAAGACACTACTTGCTGGTTTAACACGCAGAGACACTGCAAGCAAAGCCGTGACCCCGCGTTCTAGCTCGAACCAGTGCAAGTGAGGTGATGTGACTGGCAGAGGGTCCTCATGGGGCCAAGGATGAACGATGTGGAGATGTGCAGTGCAGCTTTGGCGAAGCAATACCCAGCAGGGCTCCCCGCCCAGGGAACTAAACTTTGGCTGAGCTGAACATTAATATAGGCGATGAAGCCTTACTGCTTGGAGACAAGGACCATATGGTTTGAAGTCATTTATACCTGATTCAGAAATACCAGCCAACATTTATATCTGGAATATTAATATGAGTGCGGCAGTGTGACTGGGTGTCCCACAACAGCTGGGGGTTGGACCCAGTGGCCTTCATGGCATCTTCCAACTCTGCTATTCAACAATTCTAGGATAAAATTATTCTCTGGCCACTGTTCCTGCAGTTTTCGCTTTCACTTGGCTAATTGCTTGGCCTCCACAAGTCTAGGAAATCCCTTTCATGGGTATCCTTATAGCTCATGATCAGAAGAGATCCCAGACAGCAGACAAAGCTCTCGATCCGTCCTAGAGTGCTGAGAGCCAAGCCAGGGGCAATGTTAATCACATGTTTAATATTTACTGATTTAAGAAAGGTTTGCTGCACTTCTCCCCACCCAAAATGACTTACAGAATGTAAAAATAAATAAGGTACTTGAAACCTAGTATAAATAAGGTAAAAATAGCTGCAACCCTCCACCAATTAATCATCAGTAATAAAATCAAGAACAGCTAATGTGTTGATGGTGTCACTTGCTGGCAGAAAACAGAGAAACTGGAGGATGACCGAACTTCTTTGGGCGAGGAGCACTGCCAGTCCCAAGCCAAGCCTCCGCAGGCAGCGGCTCTCACCGGAGCAGCGCAGCCACTGACGGGGAGCTCATGTGGGCGCGGGGGCCCCCCGGACACTCAGGGCCTCAGCGTTTGCGGCCGAGAGGCATTCACCAGCACGCTGGCAGTGCCTGATGCCTCCAGCCAGGACGCCGCTCTGCCAAATTCTGGCAGAAGCATCTGCAGGAGCTGCAGCTTCCACGTGGCTCCCGGGGCAGCCTGCACGGAGTGTGCGGCAGCAGGCTGGGCGAGGCACGCAGGCATCCGAGGCTGTGGCTTCACAAGCCGGTACACCCTTGGGTGGCATACACAGAAGCGCAGCACGAGAGGGATCGCTTCTGCTCTAGCCGGTTCAGTCGGACCTCCTTGGGCACTAGCGGAGCTGAGCTGGACCCCTAATGAAAGGAGAAGCTTTGGGGAAATGATCTCCTGGGAGAGGTCAGATTGCCCTTCCCGCTGTGCCATGGCAGCCCAGACTGCTGCTCACATAACCCAGCAGCACGAGCACGATAAAAACACACAGCACTGATGCTGGGCCTGGTTTGCTCCTGCTGGGGGTCTGTGTCCTGGCACAGAAGGGCCTGGGACACCCCAATCTTTACTTAAGTCAAGAAAATGGCTTTTTAAGTGTGAGTTTTAGACCATTCCATTGATTCATAAGCATTCAAACTGCTAAATCATAGCAGTTGATTTGAAAGGAGCCTCTGATTAATCAAGTAGCAAGTTGTTAAAATGCAGTTGTTTTTAATTTTCAGTATTTTCAAAACCATGGAAGTCCACTTAGAAGTGAGTGTGTGCTGCTGCTCCTTTCAGATGGTGCTTGTAAAAGTCAATATATTTTGGAACTATGTTGCAAATGTATGCAGGTTTAATAAAATGAAAAGCACACAATTTATAACCTGTTTCTACGAGCGGGTAAACATTTTTAAGTTTAAAAAATAATTTGACAATGCACAACTTATTACTAAGGAGTAAGGCTGCTACACCCATTTCCAAGGACATAATCTTCCAGCCATTCTGGAAGGCAAAAGGACTGGGGAGTGATGGGGGAGAGGCTGGCTTTCTCATGGATTTGCTTTGCTTGCATTCAGTCCCTCCTGCCAGGACTGTGGATGGTGAAGGGCATAGCTAGGCTCGGAGGGGTTGGTGCCCATGCAGTCGTGCCAGGAACATGGATACTTTGAGGCGTGGGAATGGGCAGTGCCCCTGAAGCGGCATCATGGCATGCCCAGGCTAAGCGGCTGTCCAGCCTCTACACGAGGAGGGTGAGCCGAGTCACTTCAGCCCTGTAGGAAGGTGGGAGGCGAGCCAGCCAGCCAGGCCATGGCTAGCAGCAGGTGCCACCCAGGGGATGGGCGGCAGTGGGGCGGGGGGACAGTCCTGGCCTGGGAAAGCTCAGTTACAGCTGGGCAACAGAGGGGGGGGGATGCCAGGCCATGGACGGGGCCTGCAGTGGAAGAAGGCGCTCTGAGCATCCCCTGCCGAAGTCTAGGAAGAAGCACAGCCAGCGACCAGGGCAGTCGAGTAACGTGTGCGAAGAACCAGGTTTCCACGGCCTCTCGGCCAAAAGCATTTCTGGCAGTGGGGGAAGTGGGTGCCCTGTCCCCCCTTTTCCAGGAGTATCAAGCCCAGAGGGAGTAGGGAAATGGTGACCCAGGGGATTGCCCCTCTGCCCCGTGCGGGAGCCCACCTGTGGTGAAGACCACTTCCCTGGTGACCAGTCTCTGCTCAATGATGGTGAACTGGGGCAGCTCCAGCACCTCTATCCCAGTCACGGCGGAGTCGTTTCCTTGCCAGAAGAAGACGATGTCGTCGACTGTGTAGCCATCTGGGTGAGAGAGGAGCACAGTCACAACTGGGCTGACAGGCTGCGGCGGCCCTTGAGCTGAGCGGGGCTCCAGCAGCCTCTGGGCAGGGCCTGGCCATCGCCAAGGCCGAGCTCAGCTGCTCTGTGCTGCCAGTCAGCCACGAGCCCGGTGCCTTCCGGATGGAAAGAGTGGGATGGTGGGAAGCCTCAGCATCTGCAGGACTTGCTGAAGGGAGACAGGTTTGCAGGGGCAAATCAACCCCCTGCCTGGGTCGTGGTGTCATTAAGCAGAGGCAACATGGCTGCTCAGTCTCTGGTCCAGCATGCAGGTGAGCAGGCACCGGGCAGGAAAGGAGCTTGCTGCACTAAAGATTGCCTGAGGGCAGAAACCCCTCGTACTTGGGCACTGCTGCAACTTTCCCCCTTCCCCTTGCAAATGGAAATTTAACAGGCAGCGGGGCAGGGCTGCGGAGGAAGGACCCAGTGCTTGGGCATGCAGGGGCTCCAGGATGGGGAATGAGCTGATCAGCTGGCTGTGATTTTGGCAGAAACAAAATTCCATCCAGATCTTGTTGCCTGCATGTTGAACCTTTTTAAAGGTCACTTTTGGATGTGGGCATTTCTTAAATTTCTTCTTTTAAGAAATGCAAAGGCATGACATACCACTGCCGCTGCCCACTGTTGATGCAAAGGTATGCTATACCAGTGCTGCTGCCCAAACACCACTGTGGCCATTGCTGCATTCTACTGTGGCTGAGGACTGGAGGGAAGGCTGAGGCCGGTCCCAGCAAGGGAAGCCTGCACCCCCCTGCCTTCCTTGCTCACATCCACACTTGATACGCACAGCTCTCAATCTCCAGGGTGCAGTTTTGCTGGTCAAGGGGGTATCTCCTCAGGTCCATCATGCAAGCAGCTGTGGTTGTGATTCTGGAAAAGAAAATAAAGGCAGAAAATTAGCATGCAGACTGTTGTTTCTATGACAACCAGAGAACGAGGCTGTGGCAACGGTGGGCAGGGAGGGTGCGGGAGCAGCTCTTCTCGGCATCAATGGCGTGGCTTAAATCACCATTCCTGACTCACTGCAGCCAGCCCGCACCTCTGCTACAAGGCGCTCGCTTCTCCAGGCACGGGGAGGCGGCAGGGGGTGGGGGTGTAGAGTGGGAGGAGAGAGGATGCTTGGTGGTGATGCAGGGGATGTCTGAAGGCAAGAAAACAGGTCTATAAATGAGAGAATGCACATAGCCAGGCCCCTTCGGGGACCTGAGGGAGCATCCGGATGCTTATGCAGCTTGTGGCATCGTTGGTAAGTTCAAAATAAACTTAGAAACAGCATCTAGTGGAGCATCTTGCTTAAAAGGTTCTCTATAATGTGCTTAAAATCCAAACAGAGACCTTGCCTACTGTGGCACATACAACTCACAAATCAGGAGACATATGTTACATAAGCAAGTTATATAATTCCCAATTCACCGACACAGAAGCACCAATTAGAAATTCATGAATACCAAATAATAAATTCATAAATACCAGTATGGCAAATACTTCTGCACCCATCGAGTGCAAAATTAGCACACCGAAAGGGGCCTGAGGTCAGTCTGCGGAGCCAGCCGCGCTCGGCAGCTGCCAGGTCATGCTGTGGCGGGGCTGTCCTGCGCAGCCTTGGGAGGCTGACCTGGCACGCAGCGCAGAGCCACGGCCACCTGCCCAGAGCCCTGGGGAGCACAGGAAGCACGGCAGCCGCATCCCCCGGCAGCATGGCCACCCCCTCAAGACGGCCTTTGCTGCGCTCGACCACACACACCACTCACTCCTCACTTGCCCACCCCATGGAATGGTGGCTGTTCCCGCATTCGCAGGACGCAAACACTGACGGGTGCGGTGAGTTGTCCGTAGCCTGGCAAGAAATGTGGTCCCCGCGTATGTTTCCATGGATGTGTATGCATGTGAGACTGGACCCCTGTGCTGCCTCCTGTTGCAGGGGTGTGTGCCAATCCGTGTGGCAGGGAAAGGGGGTCAGTGTCTCTGCAGACTTGCAGTAGGCATGCAAATATGCTTGATGAAACAGCGGGTTTTGCCACAGCTGTAGGATGAGGGATTTGCTTTTTCCGACCAAACAGCCAAACGCGGATCTGTAGGCTGAAAAACTGAGAAAACTGTCTTTTGTAGACATACAAGTGCAAAGGGCGCCACAGGGGCCTCCCTGATTGCCTGCATTGCAATGGGCTCACCTCTCTAGTTTGGCTTCTCTGCACGAGGGGAACAACTCCTGCACTGTGGGAACTAAAAACAACACCCCCCCCACTCCGGGCTGAGCTCATCTGCCTTTCTGTACATTCTAATAACCAGCGGCAAGGGGGAGCTGTGGTGGGGCTGCAGCCCAGCGGAACGGTGAGACAATGCCACTATTTAATTGTGCCGCAGGGCTTTTGTTCCAGTTGGCATGCTAAAAGCTGGCTGCGCCCAATCGAGGAGAAGCTGAGGAGAGGGCTGGAAAGCCTGGGCATCGCTCTCGAGGAGGAGGGCATCAGAAGAAAGCTCCGAAAACTGCCATGGCCAAGGGGTCATAAGTGAGCAAGGAACACCTGTGCAAAGAAGTCCTCCCTTCATGGGCGGGCGCTGCTGGAGGGAGGGAGGGAGGGAGGCGCTGATGGCAAGTAGGCGGCTGGGCGGTGAGCAGAGCACCTTGGCCCAGGGCCTCCGCGGAGCTGCAGGGGGTGCCGCACTGCTGAAGACATGCTGGTTTCCTCGGGGGCCGCCAGCGAGCAGAAGTGTCTGCGCCGCTCTCCAGCCCGGGTGCCCGAAATGGTGAGTCAGGCCTGCTGCCCCCTGGTCCTAGAAGGATCCCGTCCTCCACTCAGGCTCTGAACTACACCAGGGAAGAGCTTGCCTCCCGCCCGGCCGGGGTGTGCATTGGTGCAGGTGGCCTGCTGGGGAGAGGCAGCATCTCTCCTTCCCACAGTGCTCCACAAGGCATTCATCCAGCCACACACCCGAGGAGGCCAGCAGAACCAGGGACGTGCTGCTGTCCCTGCAGTACAGGGATTGCAAGGACGAAGGGGAGTGTGCATGGAAGTGGACGCTCAGGAAGGCGAAGGCAGGCTCATGGTGAGCTGGAGTGGAAGGGACCAGCCTGGGCGAGCCGCTGCCTCTTTAAGAATTGTGGCGTGCTAAATTTATCTTTCTGCTGTCTGTGACGATGGTTGTAGGAAGCCTTGAGGAGAGCCACTGCCGCTGCCTGGCATGCTATAAATAGAACTGAAGCGATGGCGGGAAACACACATGCACGCACGCACAAATACACACGCGCGCACACATCTGCAGAGGTAGAGAGGTTACCTTCCAAAGGAGGGGTGGGGAAAGGTGCTCAGTCCTGGGGGGAGGAAGCCCCAGAGCCATTTGCACAACTGCAGGCTCTAAGCACACCCTTTCCACGAGTGCAAAGCAATCCCAGCTTCCTCCTGCTTCTTCCCCTGGTATCAGGCAGCAGCAGCAGCAGGGAAATGGCAGCATCCTCCAGGGGCATTCCCAGCCCTCCGAAAGCTGCAGCTTCGCTTCACATGCCTGTGACTCAATCCACATGCCTCACACAACTTGTCTGTCTATGTTATTCTGCACCTGTGGGGCACGCCATCCACAACGGCATTCTCCCTCTTTCCCCTGAAGTGGAGAATGCGAAAATGCATCGCACAGCATTTTTCCAGCTCATCTGCAGGTCCCCACGGGCTGGAACTACCCTGGGGTGCCCATCCCGAATGCCTGCTGCACTCAGGGTTGCTGCAGCAGGAGAACCCGTCTTGCCGTTGCCCTCTGGCTTGCGCCAGGCCGGGCGCTGCTGCCACCTGCAAGCAAGAGCTCCTGGGGCAGCTGTTTGCTTGCTGCTAATACTGACGGGCTGGACTGCTTTTACACAGACGAGGCCTTTCCTCTTGGTTACCAGGAAGGCCAAACTGCAATGTGACCAACTCAAGCCAGTGTGGGCTGCGGGTCCATCCTAACCGACTGCTCTGGAAGTCAATGGCTCTCCCCGGGGGGAAAACGGTCCCCATTCTGGTTTTATATATTAATTGTGGGAATCCAGATATCATATGAGACAGAATGCAGTTGCTCAGAACACCACTAAAAGACTTTTAGTCACAAAGGGAGCCCAAGTATGGGCTATTGTTGCAGCATATAAATTGAAATAATAAATAAATGTCTTCGCCTAAATTAACAGCAGTGCAGCACACCCAGAGAAGCACAATGGGGTGGTTTAGAGTCTGGAAGGCGAGTCCTATGAGAAGCAGTTGACTGAGCTGGGTATATTTAGCCTGGAAAAGAGATGACCAAGAGGAAAGAGGGAAGCATTCTTCTGGAGGACAGGAACAGAATCAGTGACTGGAAGCTACAGGGAAGCAGACGTTGACTAAGCGATTAGTCCGAATAATGAGGACTAGTTGACACTGGTGTATCACACCTGCTCACTGATTTTGCAGCCCCTCCTGACCTTGCTGCTGCATTTCTCATGTGATTCTTTGCCAAGGTCAGAGATGCAGAAAAACAGAGATGCAGCTTTTCACGTCCACTTTCTTTGCAACATCACTGGGGGATGATCCTGCCTGGTTACAGGCTCAAAAGACAGCCCAGTTCCAGGGAAATTAAATGTGGGTTTGTTTTAAGCTTGCTTTTCTTTGATTACTGTATTTTCTACCCAAACCTTGCTAGATGAACCAAGGGTCTGACTAGGTTCCATTCCTCTGGAGTTTTTGATAATTGTCTTGCTTGGTTTCAGAAATCTGGTACAGCAATACCACATTAAATAAATATTAAGGGAGTCTGTAAAAGGATTTACACTTGTACTTCATTGCCCAAACACTACTTTCTCCTTGCTTCTCTGAAATACGGTCAGAATTGTTTAACTTTGCAAAGCTACACCCACAATTTCTATTTTACCAATCCATCTAGTAAAAAAGGAAAGAAAAAAGAAAAGAAAGAGAGAAAAGTCTTCAGCTTTACAAAGCAAGCAGACATTTTGGGGGCTGCATTTTTGTGTGCCCTGACTTCAGATTAAAAGGAACTTGTGACAAGGTGCAGAGGACAGATCCATACCAAAAGGCAGCCCTGTAGAGTCTGCATATTCAAATTCACATTGTGCAGATCTATAAAAATAAAACTGCTCCTTTCCAAAGCTCTCTTAATCACCAGGACTAGAAAAAAGGAAGAACATGGAAAACTGTGGAGGGAACTGCCAGCAGAATACCCAACCGCATCCCCAATTAATGGTCTTAGTGTCACATGGTATCTTAGAATCTAAAACTGAGGGCCCGCTCAAAGTGGTTGACATTCCCTTAGCTTTTGCAGTGCCACACCATCATGATACGCATTCAGTCCATTCTCCATTTCGCCGGAGGCATGATGGAAAAGTATGCAGGGAAGAGGCTCACAGGGGCACAGACTCATGGAATGGCAGAACTGGGAGGGGCCATCAGGTC